ACATTGAATTTTCAGTTAACCAAGTTGGTCCATATTTTGCTTTTTCCTTTAGGGAAAATTGGGCTGAGAAGGAGGCAAAGTTCAGCAGAATCATCAAACAGGTTCTAAAATGTGATCTCCACAAAAGCAACCCCTTGGATCCAGTCATCTTGCTTCCAACTGATGGCCTGGTCTCATCACTGTGCTTGAAATCTGCTTGCAAAGATCTGACCACTTATCGCATTGCTCTGAAGAACATCAGCTCCCTGTTAAAGCCAGGAGGGCACTTGGTGCTGAGTGGAGTTTTGAGCTGCAGTTTCTACATGGTTGGCCCCAAAAGGTTCTCGTGTTTGGTCCTGAAAGAGGAATTTCTGAGAGAAGCCCTCAGTGAAACTGGCTCCATCATTCAGGAGTTTGAGGTTCTCATCAGGGATGATAATATTGATGACAGCTGTGATTTCTCTGGGAAGTTCTTCATTCTCGCTCGCAAAGAGGAAGCAATATAAATCCTTTGGGGAGTATGGGTAAAGGACCCCCCCCCCTGAAGTAAGGGAGATAATATTACTAATAAACATACCAATAAAATGAATGCAGTATTTTCTCCAGCAATGTTAAATACATTAACCCTTTCTTGTGAAATACACAATGCCCATGACCAATTGTTACTGGCTAAGTACCAATAAATCAGAGCTAGAAATCTTGTTAAGTATTTTATTTTTTGTTCTTCTCTTTCTTGGATATCTTAAAAATAGAACTAATCCAGAGATGTCCTTGTTAGGCATGAGGCTAACACAATGCAAACTTTTTAAGACCCTCAGATGCCCACAGTGAACATGTTGTTTGGTTGTGAGCAGACTGCCAGCTGTTCCAGGGACTGGGGTCCCACAAACTCTGCCAGGACATCTCAGTCTCCACCCACAGCTACACCTGCTACTCCAGTGCTCGTCACCCAGAGCTATGCTGCCCATACACCTCCCTCATACCAAGTGTGGCATTCATCACACAGTGCCTCAGCTTCACTAATTATATCCCTGTCACTGTTTTTCCTCAACATGGATTTTGAAGCCCATTGTGCATCAGGGAAAATCTTGACACATTTCCCTGGCTGTAATTCACTTCACAGGCATGTCTCAGGATGTGCCTTCTGCTTTCTGAACATTAGGAGGCATCAGTGTCTAGAGCTGATCTGAAAGCAGAGTCTATAGGCAGACAGACCTGGACAGTCTGTTTGTTTGTTTGTTTGTTTTTTAAGACTGAGCTCCTCAGAGCAAGGATTGTGCCTTTCTAGGTGTCTGTGCAATGCCTAGTACACTTGGCTGCTACTGTAATACCAGTACAGATACTAACACTGCAAATGCTGGGTACCTATTAACCTAGCTAATCATGCATTCCCCTTAGGAGGTGGTTGGG